GTTGTGTTTCTATCCTGCATCAAGATAGCAATATAGCTACACTTCCCAACCAATTACACAGAACTTTGTCGGCTGTAGGTTCAATATACTGACTGATTTCAACTTTGTCATGTCACCGGGCTCTGCCACTTGTTGGCCTTACCCGCTTCATTTTTCCTTTGGCAATTCTCAGGCCTAGCTGCATCTAGACAGATGCTCATACCTCACATGTTGTAAGCTTCATCTATTGCTGCTGGGCGCCTGCCTACCTGTTTTGTCTGTGAGTGACCTGGGCCCTTGCTGCAAGCTTCTCATCTCTGTAGAACTGTCAGCAAAGACCAAAGAATCCCCCCGACTCAGAGGTTCAAATATTTTACACTGCCAAGAGGAATGTTGGGGAGTTGTAGAAAACATTTGATGCAGGTACCCCTCGCTGACCTAGTCTCTTACTAAGTAAACAGACACTACAATTTTTGCTCGTATCGCTGCCCGGCGCCAAAGGAAGCATGTCTCTCCCTACAAAGGGGTTATTCAACAGACTCAGAAAAGAAATATGGATTTGTTGCAGCGTCAACTGTCGTAGGAAAAAAATCATCGGTAACGGGGCTGTGCCGCTCGTCGGCCTTACCTGCTTTATTTTCGGATACTCAATTTGCTTCTTCAGGTTCTATGAGAGTGTTATATCCAAGCACTGCAAATCGAAGGGAGAGGACGATTCCTTTGAGTGTGGTGGCCATGCAGTCATGCGTAGGTTTGTGGAGGTATGTCCATCCAGACGTACAGATTTATTACGATACGAGGCTGATGTTGTCGTCCACAGGGGCGGAACAATGGAAAAACTCACTTCATTGGCTGTTCCAATTGGTCTAAAGGGGACGGGCTTGTCCACCGTTTCACAAAGATCCCTGGAGGGGTACGGGAATCCATTCTCGGTCAAATCTTTCGTGGTGAAACCGTGGATGTTGAGGAGGATGATGTTGTCAGTGGTCCGTGTCCTCAAATTGTTCATCCGTCCCATCTCCCACACAATAAGATATGCCGTGAGTTTTTCTCGTTTTCTTATCTCCAACCAATTCTGACTTGTCTGTAGCGCGTACTCATTCTCGTGATGGTAAACATGTCCGTGGAAAACTCAGTAAAAATCCTTGTCCTGCGCAAATCCTCATCCTCATTCCTATCGATGGGAATGATTTGCGTGCTGTGGTTATGCCTAAAGCCGGGACACCGCACAATCACCCCATCTTCCCTCGCACGAAGGTTCCTTTTGCTGTGGCAAGCCAATATAAGAAATGTATTGAATCCACCGGTCCGATCGGTGCAACCACTCTTCGGGTCGATAAATGTAAAGGAATCACTGTGTTTTCATCTATTCTTTGACTCATAGATTGACTAGCTTCAAGTACCCGTGCAATCCTGGGAGGAAAACTGCCCCAGGAACTACACCCAAGCCTCATCAGCAACCGTAGACGGCGAGACATGGTGCGCGGATCTCAATTATCGAAATTTCCGAATGGTACTGGCATGCAAGGTGCGAATCTTGTTTCATGTGAGTCCCATATCTGATTCAATCTGACCCAGCAGTGTGGAACGAGTTTGAGGAAGACAAGTCTCGTGCACCTGCGGATCAATACATTCATGCAGTTAGCACCCTGGCTGACGATACTCATGTTATCATTACTGTCAATCCGGACCTCGCCGCTCTGACTTTGGACGCTTCTTGGATCATGGTTGACACTACTTTTGTTGTGGTTCATGGTAAGACCAACGAGTGGAAGCTTCTCATTTGGCTCAATGGTCTGGATAGGTGTACGTTCATTTACATCTCACTCCTAGTCTCTCGTGGAAGCTGATTTATTTTTGGGGCCAGGAACTGTCATCGGACGTGTTTGGAGCAACCGTGCAACTCGTGAAGCCTTTGTTCTGGTATGGAATGGGATATTCGAGGCCATCGAGACAATCACTGGGAAAGCATTGAACTTCAAAGTATTTTCCAAAGCTCAAGCCTTTTAGGTGCCCTCGGGGACTCTGAGGGTGCCCAGGCCCAGGCTCTCGGCGATGTGATCATCCTACGCCGTCTCAATTTGCCAGAAGTAGATGGAATGGCCACAGTTGACGTTGACACTATACTCATGTTTGTGTGGAAAACATGCTTAGTTCACTTCATCCGGTGCGCATTGCCCTCCCCGATCTTGAACACACTAACATGATGCTATATTTTATAGTGGTGTCCTTGCTTTAGAGTCACACCTGGACGATTACAACCTCTTCCAATATCTTCTTTCATTTCCATACCTGGACTCAGATGTGGAGATTACTGAGTACTACACGGTTTGCGGCACATCTCTGAATCCAAAACTCAAGGGTTAGACATTTCAACTTCAATCATATCAGCATCTAATTTCCCGTCACATTTCAGCGTGGTGGGCGCATAAACTCAGCTATCCATGGTTGCTTCCCTCCCTGAACCGTCGACTCAGCAAGATCAGCAATAAATTCTGGGATTTGACACCAAGGGACACCAATCCGATTGAAGGCTCGCACGCACAAGACAATCAGGTCAATAATACGAACCACAGCCTGATTGAGGCAATTTTGCTGTGAATGCACTTCAGGCTACCTCAACCTAGACCCCAATAGGCCTCATCCGTCCAAATCGAGTTGTGGCCTAAGAGGCCCTCCCAGGGTGGGTACGAACCACCTTGTGGGTATACCCACTTATCATGGGCATGCCCACCTTGGGTATACCCACCTATCATGGGCATGTCCACCATGGGTATACCCATGTGTCACATCACGGCCAGGTGGGCATGCCCACTCCTTCTGGCCCAGCTCGTTTTTGCGATTCTGGGGCCTGCGCAGGGCCTGTTTTGCGGCCCTTGTTGGCCCCAGCCCTTCTTCCCTTTACATAGCACCTATCTGCCCCCTCCACAGCCACTATACGCCTGCTGGCAGTGCCTGGTGCACCTGGTAGCAGCTTCTTCCCAGCTTGTTTTTGCAATTCTGGTGCCTGCACAGGGCCCGTTTCGCGGCCCTTGTTGGCCCTACGCCTACTTCCCTTTACATAGCACCTATCTGCCCCCTCCATGGCCACTATACACCTGCAGCTTCTTCCCAGCTTGTTTTTGTGATTCTGGTGCCTGCGCGAGGCGTGTTTCGCGGCCAGGCCTTCTTCCCTTTACATGGCACCTATCTTTACACTCACTCCATTGCTACACTCTATTTTGCATTCTAAATCTACCATACATAAAGCCTATCTGTACACTCAGTGGCCACCTGGTGTCATCATACACTCTAAATGTACCATACATAAAACAATCTGCACACTCAGTGGCCAACGGGTGTCATGATACACTCTTTTTGCATTCAACATGTAACTGTACATATGTGGGCTGTATGTAGGAAAGGCAAAGTGATCAGTCAGTGGACATGCCCACATAGAATATGGATATCTCCACATGGATATGCCCATTGGGTGGGTATGCCCACAGTGGGTACGCCCATCGGGTGGGTATGCCCACAGTGGGTACGCCCATCGGGTGGGTATGTCCACAGTGGGTACGCCCATCGGGTGGGTATGCCCACAGTGGGTACGCCCATCGGGTGGGTATGCCCACAGTGGGTACGCCCATCGGGTGGGTATGTCCACAGTGGGTACGCCCATCGGGTGGGTATGCCCACAGTGGGTACGCCCATCGGGTGGGTATGCCCACAGTGGGTACGCCCATCGGGTGGGTATGTCCACAGTGGGTACGCCCATCGGGTGGGTATGCCCACAGTGGGTACGCCCATCGGGTGGGTATGCCCACAGTGGGTACGCCCATCGGGTGGGTATGCCCATTGGGTGGGTATGCCCATTGGGTGGGTATGCCCACTACCCAATAGATTGGCATACCCATCTCACACATGGATATACCCACCAGTTTGTTTGGTTCCTGCCTGGGCATTCCCACCTTACCAGTGGTTGTGACCACATCTTTGTTTGGTTCTTCACTGGATATATCCACTTTGAGGTGGATATGCCCACTATTCAACCAAACAAAGAGATGGGGTACCCACCTTTAGTCCAAATGACTTGTAATTTCTTTTTGTGTTGCTCTCTTACTTGGGTCATCAATCTCTAATACATTTCAAATGGCGATTTATTACTTATCCTGCCCCCATTGATCTTTTATCCCTGTGCTGTCTTCTTTCTTCTTATATCTTCCCTGAAATTTCCTTGTAATTTTTTTGTGTCTTTCACTTGGGTCATCAATACATTTTATAGCTCTAGTACATTTCAAATGGCCATTTATTACTTTTCCTGCCCCCATTGATATTTTATCCCTGCACATTCTTATCTCTTCTTTAATTTTTGCTGAAATTCCCTTTTTGGGACACTAGCGGTAGTGTTCCTTTTTTGGTCATTGCCCATTTTTTTTTCGTCGAAGTCATTTTCATGAATCAGGTAAAATGGCCGACCATCAATTATTCACTTCTAAATAGGTACACAAATCCGTTCACTATTCCATTTCTTCCATGTTTCCCTTTTTTTTATGTCACTTGTGCAAAACTTCCCGTTTGGGACGATATCGGTTGTTGTCCCCTGTTTGGCCTCTTTCTACAACTCCAAAAAAAAAAAGAAAGCACAATCAAAAACAACAATATATCTCTCTCTATACGTTACATTTCCTTGAAAAATACACGAGCGCCACAACTCCTGCCTACCCAAGCCCTTCAAAAAAGCCAACAAAAAGACGGCTTGACCTCGAATTGAATGGGGAACCTCTGCAAGAACTTTCTCGTATCTTGGCCCAAGATTATGCGGCGTGATACCGTTACACTACCAAGCCCATGGTAGGATTTCTGGCATTGGAATACCGTGCACTATCCCGCCCTACCTACCCCCCCAAACAAAATAAACAAGTACGTTCCAGCAAACTCGTAGACATTCACACGTAGGTCTATATGTTACATTTTCCCTCCAAAAAAAAAAACGAACACCATGCCTCCTGCCAAGCCCTTAACACAAAAAGCAAAATAAGTAGCCTGGCCCCGACTCGAACGGGGAACCTCCGCCATGAGAAATCTGATCCACGTACAGATTAGCGGCACGATACCGTTACACTACCAAGCCCATGCTAGGACATCTGGCATCGGAATACCATGCAATTTCTCACCATACCTACCTCCGAAAAAAAAAACAATCAAGAAAGTCAGACAAAAAGAAAAAGAAAAACGAGAATCAGAAACGAAACATTTCTCGTACACGAAGAAAAATATGTTAACAATTTACAGCAAATCGTAAGGAATCTCATATCGATGGTACGGAGTCTTCGCCCAGATATCATATTCCTTCATCATCACCTCTATCTGGGCGCTAATGTCCTCCAACTGAGTCTCATCCTCGAACGAGCTGCAAAGTTCATCGTATAAATCTTGCAGTGCTCTCATTCGGTCGGTGAGGAGGCGCTCGGCGGTTTCGCGGGACGGCTTGCGCCGCAGGTGGGTGACCCCTTCTGGGACCAGCTTGTAAGCATTCACTGTTCGATAGTATTAGTTCGCCAGTCAGAGGCCAGACAAGACAACTCCACGCACCGACATGCAATTTGCACCCGTGTCTCTTTCGTCCACAGGCTACTGCGTCCTCGGGACAAGAGCACTACAAAACCAGTCAACCCCCCGATCATGCGAAACAAAACGAATAGTACGCACTGGAGGCCGCACATCGGTGGCATTACGCAACAGATTGTCCTCGGAATAAATATAACACGCCTTGCAGACATCGCAACCGGGACTTGGATGGAGTTCGCCCGCCAAATGGAAAGCCGGGTGGTAAGCACCGTATCCCAGAGGTGCAATGAGCAACCCACAAGAACGGCAGGTGTTGGAGGGGAACTGCACCTCCCTGGTGCGCAGCAGCTGGGGCCTGGTCACCGGCATGGCCAGCAGGCCAGGGGAGCCGTCGTCGTGACTCGCGTTGATATCCCAGAGTGGTTCCACGACAGAATGAAGGTAGGGTTTATGTGGGGGAGACGTCTTGTGGCATTCGGCAGGCATCATGCAGGGTGAGAGATGGATCGGCTCTGTCAGTCAATTAAATAGGGCGCGCGAGGTTCTGCCACTTACTTGCTCATTGTCCGTTTTCCGCCTTTTGCCACCGAGTTCTCCCTTTTCAGCAATCTACTCTACCCATTGTTTCCCCGGGACCCGCCCCGCCGCGTCTGCCCGGGTCCGCCCACTGCGGCGCGCAGCAAGCCGGGGTGCACACCTTTAACCCCCTACGCCGGCCTCCACGTCCACGTTCGGGGCGCCACACGCCCTCGCCGTTTCGGGCGGCATGCTGGCTTGTTTGCCCCCCCCCTCAAAAAAAAAAAAAACCGCACGCATCCCCCCACCAAAAAATATTAAAATGATAATAATAAATGGCGCCCGTCCCTTCTTTAGTGTCTCCACCTCTTTCAGTGATATCAGTGATGGCGATTAATCCTTAATCCTAATACCACTTCATATACGGTTAATCCTCAGTACTATTAACATCTACTTTACTTTGCTATTAATAATACCTACAATTAATCCTATACTAGCCTACGATTCCCCGTCCACCACAGCCCACCCGCCCGGATTATTCATCCAGCCAGGATTATCTACAAAGATTAATCCTGAACATGATTCCCGATTAAACCTCCTGGGGGATTTCTGGCTCAGGAGTATGCCCTAGCCAAGATTACGGCGGATCAATCCCTTCCACGAACATCCGATTAATCGGGGGCGGCACCGATTAATTGCAAGAGATGTCGAAGAGATTCCATCAACGAGGGATTGATTGAAGATAAGATTATTCACGTACCGTGCGATTATTTGAAAGCGATATTGACCACCTGATTGACCACCTGATTAGTAGACACGAGTGTTCATGAATGTGCCCAAGATTATTTCTCAGGAGTTGGGGAGTTGAGCGATGATCTTGGTAGAAGCCTTGATACCTGGTTATGATTAATCGTGGGAGGGGGATCAAAATCATACGCACTGATACGATGCAAGAAAATGAAAGCAACGCAAGGGTTCTAGGTTTAATGCCGCTCACCAAAAGAATTGTCCCAGATAACAGGAGAAATCAGTCAATTTCGGTCCGGAGATCCCACTTATACGACGACGTACGATTCCGTTGATGTCAAAGAACGGCGCATTCAAAGGTTGGGCAATGTTGAGCAGGATGGAAACGTCTGCAGAGCAAAACCAAGGTCTCCAGGGCTTGGAGAAGCGATGAGCTTTGGGCGTGTGTATGAGTGAAATAATCTCAAGATGAAGGTTGGATGGGCATCAACGCATCCTGGAAGGCAGCTCCGAGAACGTTAACCGTGTTGAGCTCGACCTCGGGCACACCCTCATAATGCAGGAGCCCCAGGGTCTGGTTGGGGTTGACTGGAAATGTAATGAGAGCAGATTTTTTGGGATGAGAGGAGACGTTATCGTTCGGGTTGTTGGCGGGCCTTCCTCCCGTGGGCCCACTCACGTTCTGAGTTTGTATCGTGCCATATGAAACAAAATATTTACTGTGCGCGGATCTGTGTGAATAGCAGGGAGAGGGGGATGAATTTGGTTGAACCTACCATTAGTTTTCGACCAACTGGTTGGCATGCAGGACGATGGAGAGACGCTGAGCTGGGGACCGACAGTGTAAATGGGGGAAATCTTTAAATAACTGGGAAAATGTTACCAGTATAGCATAGACGTCTACATTGGCAAACAGATTCGGGTTGTTCTCAACCCCGTCGAGCTCAATCAGATCTCAGAATGTAACTCAGAAACCCACGAGAGCCGCGTGCCATATATCGACGCACTGAAAATGTGGTTGTTGTTGAACGAGATGGTCATGAACTGGCGGCCAGAAGATTCGGAATCTATGGTTCATCGGCAATCGCAAGGGGTATGATCACAATCTTCCCGCACCTGTAGCGTAGATCCTGCTCGAAGATGATGACAGTATATGGTACGTCACGGGTGAATCAGAACCTGGGGTAAGACGACCGACCCTCGGGACCTCCTTGGTAGAGCCTGGCAAAGAAAATCATTTCGGCTTGCGGGTCATGAAACTTAGAGTAAATCTCACCCAACACCATTGATCAGGCGAGAGTCTTGCACCCTGAGGAGATGGGTCAATATCGTTGTCAGACCTCGTCAAAAAAAAACCCAGAAATAATTCAACTCCGAACTGCAGACAACAATGGCCTTGCAAACACATGTTAAGTGCGACAACTCCAGTGCCATTCAACCTGTCAACCCGTCAGTCCTGCGGCGACAGATGCGAATGCAGCCAGTAGCTAGAAGGAGGTGGAGTAAATGTGGGCCAATAAGTAATCCAAGCACTTGCCGCTACTCGCCGAGTCCGAATCTGTCCGACTCAGATTAAACTGGTAAATGCACTCAAAGTCCTGGGGAGGTATGGTATCTGTCATGCGGACAGAAAGTGCTGTGTACGGGTGACAAATACAACACAGTTGGCCAGCCTAAGCATAAGTCACCCCCATTTAAATAAATTCAAGCAACTCAGTTCACCAAGGAGATAAAAATTGAAACAAGTCAAAAATGAGTCACGAATCGGATAAATGTCGCCCAACATGACACCGAAGAAAGGGATAGACCAGGCTACATGGATGGTTGAGAGATGGCGTGGGGTGGGGTGGGGTGGCAACGATGAAGGGAGAGGAAGAGAGTGGCGCGCTTTGTTGCCCTTTGTCACGAAGTCGTCGGAGTTTAAATCGTCACGTGAGTTTGTCATCAAGCGTTCGGAAAATTCATATTAGTTACCCTGATGCTCTACTTACCCCTCGAGGCGCTGAGAAAAATCCAGGTGAGGCAACATAATTCTTTCCCTGATTTCTCCTTCTTCGCACAACAAATACTTGATTTCTCTCGCTGCGACAGCTGCTATTCTTTGAATGTCGCGAGCATTTCAGGTTCAAATTGTCTGGGAATACCCAAGGTGGTGCAAGACACGTCTGCAGCACCACTCCAGCCCGAGTTCCGGCCTTGATGAGCCTTCAAAGATCTAGGGACAAAATGGTTCTGCGTCCACGGTGAGTGTGTTAAGTGTGGGGGATGAAAAGATCAGAAGCTTAGCTTCTGGTATCCGTGGCTCATTACTTCGCGTGGTTCTGCCAGGTTGAATGTCCACCGCCAGTGCCAGATCACCTTGTAGGCGAGTTCTGGATTGAGAGATATCAGAAAATAGAATGTGGACGCGCCCATCGGTCAGCAAGTTCAAGTGAATATGAACACCTACGCATAAAAATGATGGCGTCTCTGCGAACTCGAGCATTCGGGCTCCCTTGTAGCGAAGCGAGATGCCAATCCGGTGAATTATCAGATCCCACTCGGGCTCTAATACAAGTTTGCTTCAACTTGACTTCAGGCACATGAGGTTTGTGTACCTTCCATTCTTCCGAGCGATCGTGTTGAACCTTTGTTCGGGCATCTCGGCGATGTATTCCTCCCCATCAGGAGCCTTCCTTTTCAGTTGTATTATGTAGTCACCGGGTGTGTTCCCCTCTGATCATTTTGAAACGATGTGTGATTGCCTAGTAATACTCTAACGCCACCTCAGAGGCCCACCGTCCTTTTTGGGGCCCAGAATTCTCGTATTTTTCATCCCTTGGATTCTGGAACGCAATTGGTCCAGTAGCATCAACTCGTGGAGACCACTGCAAGTGAATTTGCATTTGTTTCAGCGGGGGGAAAGGATCCGATGTGGACCGATTGACGGTGCCTGAGCAGGAGTGAGGGATAATAAATGGTGCAAATCTGTGTATCATCCTGACATCCCTTCTGTTCCCGGGCCTGGGATGCATCTGCTCTTCTTGAACCATGAACCTTGAACAAACTCGCCCGGACCAGGACGATGTCATGGTTAAACGAACTGTCCGTAGAAGCCACTGAGTTCTTCGGTGTCCACCCAATTTCGAACTGAAAGCTCGGAACACAGGCATATTTTTCTTATGTGGGTGTTCTAGATCTCATCTAGCGTCCTGGAACCCAACTGGATGCGGAGGAACATCAATTGACTACCCGAACTGTTGGTTGAGGTTGGTCTCACGACGTGATCGTGATTTAAACTTTGCCTTCCCACTGCCTTTC